GGGGCAGGGGTTATGGTCTGGGATGAAATCAGGCATGAGAGTCTGGTAGGGTGGGATGAAATCAGGCATGAGAGTCTGGTAGGGTGGGATGAAATCAGGCATGAGAGTCTGGTAGCGGGGATATGGAATCAGGGTTATAGTCTGGGAGGGGGTGGGTGATGGGGCAGGGGTTATGGTCTGGTATGAAATCAGGCATGAGAGTCTGGTAGGGAGGACATGGAATCAGGGTTATAGTTTGGGAGGGGGTGGGTGATGGGGCAGAGGTTATGGTCTGGGAGAGGGTGGATAAAATCAGAGGTTCAGGTCTGGGAGGGATGATGTGGAATCAGGGTGACTGTGGGATGGATAAAATGGAATCAAGGGTGAGGGTCTGGGAAGGGGCAGATGATGGGGGGGCAGGGGTTATGGTCTGGGATGAAATCAGGCATGAGAGTCTGGTAGGGTGGGAAGAAATCAGGCATGAGAGTCTGGTAGGGTGGGAAGAAATCAGGCATGAGAGTCTGGTAGCGGGGGATATGGAATCAGGGTTATAGTCTGGGAGGGGTGGGTGATGGGGCAGGGGTTATGGTCTGGGAGAGGGTGGGATGGAATCGGTGTGGGAGGGGTGAGGGTAACATCAAAGCCCCCAGGGGACTCAGAGCTCCTTGCACTGCTCACCCACACAGTTCTTGCTGTCGGGTGTGAGTTGGAAGCCCGAGTTGCAGACACACCAGAAGCTTCCCTCAGTGTTGATGCAGCGGCCGTGGTTACAGAGGCCCCCGCTGGCCAGGCACTCATCCACGTCTGAGGGGACAGGCAGCCCCCCTCAGTCTCATTGCCTCAGCCAGGACCCACCATTGCTCCTGTCCCCTGTCAGGACCTGCGTCACCTGCCCATGCACAGCCATACCAGGTGCAGGCCCCCCACCTCACTAGAGCCCCTTCTGCCCTTGCTCTGCACCAACCATACCCACACAGGCCTGTTGGGCACTGGTGGCGTGGAAACCCCCATGGAAGCGGCAGTGGTAGGAGCCAGGGGTGTTGACGCAGTCACCGTGGGGACAGGGGCTGCTGGCACACTCGTCCACATCTGTGAGTACAAGATGCTGAGCCTGGCCCAATGGGGTATCACTGCCCAGGACCACCCCCATGATGCACCCTACCCTCACTGATGTATCCCCACTTCCTACAGATGTACCCCTCACAGATTAACCTCCTTACCATCTACCCCTGCCCCCCAAGATACAGCCCCCACTGATGCACCCCCACTGAGTCACCCCCCCCACAGAGTTGCCCCCTCACCAATGTAATTTCACCACCCACCGATGCACCCCCAGATTCAGACTCCACCCTCACTGGAATGCCCCTGACCCCCACCAAAGCACCCCCTCACAGATTCACCCCTCACTACTGAACCCCAAGATTCAACCCAACAGTGCACCTCCACCCTCACTGGTGGACCTCCTCCCTGAGATGCACCCCTCCCAGATTTGCCCCCCACCCCTCACCGATGCACGCACCCCGCATGTCCTGCCTGAAGCCAGTATGGCACTTGCACTGGTAGCCGGAGGGGGTGGGCGGGCAGTGGCCTTGGAGGCACAGGTGGGGGAAGTGGTGACAGATGTCCAGGGTCTGGTTCAGTGTGGTGGTGCCTGTGGCAGGGCCATCCCAGGGCCCTGATCAAGGGCTTGAAGGGAGGGCTCTTCTGTACGGTCCCCCCTCCCTATTGCAGGTTCTCCCTTTGGCCCAGACCCTCCCTAGTCTTAGAGGCCCCGTACCTCTACCCGAGACCCAAACACTGACTTCCCAGCCCAGACTCCCAATTTAATTGCACCCCAGAATTCAGCCAGTACCTCCATACCCGGTATGCAGGCCAAGACCCCCTACTCCACAGCCCTGACCTTCCCTCTGAGACCTGTCCAAGCCCTGCCTCCCACCCTCAGCCCAAGACCCTCCTTCCAG